TTCCGGCCCCGCAGCCTCGACCTACTGGGCTCCGGCGATCCTTCTGCCTCAGCCTTCCGAGTAGCCGGAATTACAGGCACGTGCTACCACGCCCAGCTGATTTTTTGATTTATTGTAGAGATGAGGTCTCGCTGCCCAGGCGGGTCTCGAACCCGCGGGCTCAGGCAATCCACTCACCTCAGCCTCCCAAAGGCGAGGGATTACAGGCTGAGCCACCGTGCCCGGTTTGGAAGGACTTTGTTTCCAACTAACCTGGGGACCCAGATATTTCATAGAATGTGTTGGACAAATCAAATATGCATCTTTTTTTTCTCTTGATAAATATCTCTATGGTAAGCCATGGGGTTCTGTCAATCGTCTGTTTGACCAAATAATTAGGCTTTGAAAATTTAACTTCAACTTTTTACTTTTGCCATAATTAACATGCCAGTGTAAGAGTAAACATTAAAGCTAGTGAGTAGATTAACATATAACAATTTTAGCAAAAATCAGAAAAACAGAATATTAGAGCCAGTAACCCATATTTTGGCAACATCAATTGAATTGGCAGTGATGTTTGGGAATGAAATTACTTCTCATTAACATTGATCTGAAATTGGGAAGAAAATGCAAATATTCTTTGTTGAAGAACTTATAAAATTTTAGAATTGCAACAAACAGCCAGACAACTTCATAGTATGTTGTGTATCTGTCTCCCATTTCCAACTCTACCACCACCTCAGCTTTCTCCCTACCCATGTCCTTAAGAACTCTTAGAAAAACTCATAATTAACAAGTGCTGGGGTGGAAAGGCAACGTTTCACTTTATATGCAATCTGACAATTAAGTTCATAAACTCATCCTAGAAAAAGTGCTACATATGACAATAACAGCTGTGTACTACTTTTAATAATTTACCATGTAACTTGGATACCTATCACCTGGACTGTAAATTTGTTTTAGCTGTATCCATTTAAAATTAAACATATAGATTAAGTCATCCTAATCTATTTTTTCCACTTCCGTACTAATTTTAAATGGATACAGAAACTTTACAACTGATGAGTTTAACTTGTATTAAGCAGTTGAGCCTTCTCTGTCTAATCATTGTACTTGTTCTGTTTTTGTCAATTGATAATCCCCTGACCCTTTTGAAAAATTGTATTTTTAGTAGAAATTAAGTCGTATGCCCTTAGGACATACAACTTAGGATTTTTTTAGTTCTTAAAAGCATGTTTAGATTTTTCTGTACTTGTATAGGCCTGATTGTTTTTGTGGCTTAGTTAAGATTTCTTAAATCATTTTCTAGTAGCTGTCATTGGTTTATAAAATTTGGGTTGTTTAAAATGCAAAAAAAAAAAAAAAAGTGCTACGTGCCTCAATGCTGAATATCACTACAGTCACCTTCGAAGTACTCCCCTTGAGAAGCTATACACTGATACCAGCACTTAGAGTCTGGAATGGCCATCAGCGCTATTGCTGTATTACCCTTGATGTACTGAATGTCATCATGTTTTCCTCTCAGTATTTCCTTTGCCTTCAAGTAAATAAAAAAGTTACAGGGGGCCAGATCAGGTGAGTAGAGAGGGTGTTCCAGTACAGTTATTTGTACAGTGCTGCCAATGTAAGCACTTGGTGGCAAGTTTGTGAATTGTCAGACCTCAACAAATAACGACAACTCTGATGGCCATTCTAAAAAAAAAGAGCTCCAAAACTGCTTTGACAGGTGGAATAGGTGCTGTCATCAGTGTATAGCCTCCCAAGGGAAGTACTTCGAAGGTGACCGTAGTAATATTAACAATGAGTTATGGAGCACTTTTTCTAGGATGGTTTGCGAACCTCATTGTCAAACCTTGTATAGTCGACTTTTTTTTTTTTTCAGTCTGTCCAGAAATCCTACCAGATCCCCATTCTTGGTCCATGTGGTTAGAGGAGGTTGGCTAAACTCCCAGGCCCCAAGGGGACCATAAGACTCAAGTGGGTCAGAGCACTGCATCCTCCTGCCCACAGCAATGGGCATGTGAACCAAGAAAGACACATCAATGCTCCTTGGTGTCTTGAGTGGAAACAGCATATGGGTTCACACACATGATCCAATCTCAGTAAGAAAAGACAGTGACTAGGGAAGGAGAAAAACCACCATAAAGAACTTATGGGAAAAGATCAGCTCAAACAGCTGCTGTTCTCCAGGCTACTGGCGCAGACCCAACTTGGAGTGAAGGCTTTGATCCGTGGCCAAAACGCTTGCCTTGAGGGCAAAACCACCATCTATCTAACCCACCTTCATCTATAATCTCTATCCCAGGGACTGGATCTGAGTATACACTCAGTGAGTACATGCAGGATGAACCAACAGATCAATTGCAGGGTGAGTGCAATAAATGGCTTCGAAGACTTCAATGAAACATTTGCACCCTGGTGTTGTAGGGCAGTGCTGAGTGCCATTCATTTCTTTCTCAATCCTTAGTTTGTTTAGAAGTCAGCTAGGAAATCTGTCAAGTGATTTTTGGGATCCACTCTGAGTGGGCAGCCATGAGAAATGCCCCAATAAGCCAGTGGGTCTCCCAGGCTGAGAGTTGTCACTGCCATTCTTCCTACATAACCACCATGTGGATGTGCTCCAACATATGCACATCTCTAAACGGAAATTCATGTCAGCTCTGGCTCCATCTGCCACCTTTCCTCCATTTTGCACGTCTTTTTTCAATGCCAGAGAGCCAGTAGAGCCTTGATTTCCTTGTTGGCCACTCTGGCAATGATGCTGGCTTCTCTCCCCCAGGCATATCAGTGAAGGACCTGAATCTTGTGGCTCCTCGACTTTCTTCTCAACCACTAGGAATACAGCAATAGCCTTTTCCCCCAGGTTCTGCCCCATGATGTGCCGAGCGCTGTGGACCAGCCCTGCTGAAGATGGGCTCTCAGCCCTCTGGTGCCCTCCAGGAATCCTGCTCTCCTGAAGGTCCTGTACACAGTGGGAACAGATCCTTTGCTGAATTCTCGAAGGATGAGACAAAGAGAAGACAATAATGGCAAGGGGCTGGGATGGAACAGACAGGGAATATTTTGGGAATATAGAGAACATTTTGAGCTAATGACAATGGATCTTCAGGGGAATATATTACATGTTCATTTCAGAACTCCGTTCTCCAAGTTTTCCCATTCTTTAAGTGAGGGAACAATTTTTACTGATCAAGTCATTCCTCATTTAAATTCAGTAAATGCCTATCAACAGGGAACTATTTGAATTATGGGGCATCCATCTTCTGATCCTTCTAGATAGGATCAGTTACCACTATTAGATGGCTCATAGCGCCTGAGTTGTTTCCTACCTAGAATCATTATTTTTTAAAATGGTTATTTAATATCTGTCTCCTCTACTAGACTGCAAGTCCCATGAAGGCAACAACCATGAGGGTGGGCACTGTGTGCCCAGCGCTCAGTACAATGCTTGGTAGAGAGCAGGTATTTCATATCTGAATTATATAATAATAAATACATACAATGGAATGCTATGCAACCATTTAAAAGCATGACAATGTGAAATGTTTATTGACATGTAAAGTTGTCCAGAATATACTGTTAACTTTTAAAATCAACTAATAAACTAGTAGATATACTATGATTCCATGTTAATAAAAATAATAGCCATGTATACAGACATATACCTCAAAATGTTAACAGTGGTAGGATTATGGATGGTTATATCTTGGTAACTCTGTATTACCTGAATTTTTAAAAATAAAGGTATTTATTTGACTTATTATTTTTTTCATTTTTAGAGACCAGGGTTCACTCTGTCATCCAGGCTGGAGTGCAGTGGTACAATCACAGCTCCTGAAGCCTCAACCTCCTGGCTCAGGCAATCCTCCCACCTCAGCCTCTTGAGTAACTGGGAGTAACAGGTGCAAGCTACTGCATCTGGTTGACTTCTCATTTCTGACTTTAAAATTACTTCTATTTTGAAAAAAAATCAGGTGGACATTAAAATGACCTAATGTTATGTCAGAAAGCTTCACTTGAACATTGACATACAGTATTCAACTGCACAATATTAGAAACAACCTAGATTTCCAAATGCAGAATAAAATGCTGGATTATGTTCACCTTGATGCTATTTCTGATTAAAGTGGACCTTTAACAAAATGACCATTGCAAAATCTTCATTTCTGCATAAAATGTATTAGTTTACTGTTACGTTCATAATTACCCATTAGACTTTTCTCTCTCCTGCTATTGACATTCCTACTCAGGATATGGAGAAGGAAATAGACTCTAATTTCTTTTTCTTTCTTTCTTTTTTTTTTTTTTTTAGACTAGGATCTCACTCTGTTGCCCAGGCTGGAGAGCAGTGGCACGGTCACAGTCATTGCAGCTTCGACCTCCTGGGCTCAGGCAATTCTCCCTCCTCAGTCTCACAAGTCACTGGGACTAAAGGCATGCACCACCAAGTCTGGCTTTTTTTTTTTTTTTGAGTTGGAGTCTCATTCTGCTGCCCAGGCTGGAGTGCAATGGCATGCTCATGGCTACTGCAGTCTTGACCTGCTGGGGTTCAGGTGATCCTTCCCCTCAGCTTTCCAAGTAGCTGGAACTACAGGCGAGTGCCACCACACTTGGCTAATTTTTTAAATTTACTGTAGAGATGAAGTCTCACCAAGTTGCCTAGGCTGGTCTTCAATCCCTGGGCTCGGGCAATCCTCTCACCTTGGCCTCTCAAAGTGCTGGGATTATAGGCATGAGCCACTGCACCTGGCCTATTTTTAACATTTTTTTTGTAGCGATGAGGTCTCGCTATGTTGCCTAGGCTGGTCTGAAACTCCTGAGCTCAAGAAATCCTTCTGCCTCGGCCTCCCAAAGTGCTAGAATTACAGGTGTGGCTCATCACGCCCAGCCAACAAACACCTTTAATAGACTGACTGGTTATAAAGCTATAATTGGATATTTTTAAGACCAGGTTATAGTTTTCCCTTTTCAAACATGTTGGTTTATATAAATAAGACACTTATAGAGAATATTCTCTATACAGAGCAAGAATAGACTCCTGGATATCTATATAATTGCACTTATTTTATACAAGTAGCATGATTGTAGGAAAATGGAAATTATTTTTGCATATAAATTCCTTTTCCCAATTAAGTATAATTAAAAGTTTCATTAAGGGTCAATTAAAAAAAACACAGGACAAAACTGTTATGTATATGGCTGCCTGTCTTTAAGTAATTCTAATTTTGTTATTCTTGCCAGCTTCAATCCATTGACACAATGACCTCAGCACCATTTTAGAAGTCACAGTCTGACCTATGAAATGTGACAGCCCAGGAGAACCTTCACACCATGTTTTATGTTCAATAAAAAGTCTATGAGAACTGTAATCATACAATACAAGCCATTTACAATAAAATTATAAGGATGAACACGTGCCGGTACAGCTAGGCTCTACATACTCTTTGGACGCTCAGAAAGTTCAAGAATGTCTTGTCGATCTTCATTTCAGATCTAGGAGCATTGAAGCTGGATTTTCTAAGTAGGACTTCCAAAGGTTTGAGAAGCGTGACATTGTGGCGCCATCAATGACTCTGTGGTCAGCCGACCAACTCACGTTCATTATCTGAGCCTTATACACTTCCCCTTTCTGGTTGAATCGGGGAAGGGCCTGGAAATAAAACAAGGACAATGAGTCAACCTTCATTGCTCCGAGTTCAAGCTCCAACGATGCGGTGCAACGATGCGGTGCAAGGCCCTCTTCCCTGCAACACAGACAACAGCACCCCAAAGAGCTTTCAGAAAGTACTGCCCCTCCTCCCCCACCTTTGAGAGCACATGCCTCAGCCTTCAGATGTCTCCATGGAGTTTCCCAAGCCCTGTGTGATCCCCTACCTGCATTCATTAAATCTCATTTCAGATTTCCAATGTCTAACAATTATTTCCTGAGCACCCGCTATATGCCAGGTGCTCCTCTGAACTCTGGGGAGAGACAGTGAAGATAAATATGGCGGGCTGGGTGCAGTGGCTCACACCATAATCCCAGCACTTTGAGAGGCTGAGGTCAAGGCTGTGGTGAGCTGTGATTGTGCTCCTGCATTCCAGTCTGGGTGACAGAGTGAGACTCTAACTCCAAAAAAGTTACAAAGAAAAGAGAAGATAGCAAAGGAAAGATGACACAGAGGGAGAAAAATAAATAAATACTATCAGTCCCTTCCCAACAAAGATTACATTAAGTGATGAATAAGACTGATGATACCCTAAGAATTATGCTCCATAGCCTGAAGGTACCATGGGTAAAATGATTCTGTAAAAAGATATCTATTGAGAGCTGGGCTCCGTGGCTCAGCCTGTAATCCCGCGCCTTTGGGAGGCTGAGGTGAGTGGATTGTCTGAGCCCACGGGTTCGAGACTCGCCTGAGCAGAGAGACCTCATGTCTACCAAAAAATCAGCCGAGCATGGTAGCGCATGCCTGTAATTCCGGCTACTTGGAAGGCTGAGGGGGAAGGATCGCTGGAGCCCAGCAAGTCGAGGCTGCATTGGCCGGGAGCGGCCACTACACTCCAGTGTGGGCGACAGAGTGAGACTCCAACTTGGAAAAAAAAAAAATATCTATTGAATAGATATTTGTATGCCAATAGTCATAGCAGCATTATTCACAACAGCCAAAAAATGGAAGCAATTCAAATATCCATTGACAGATGACTGAATAAAAACATGGTGTATATACAGGGGGTGCCAAAAGAATGTATATACATTTAAAGAAAGGAAAAAAACAATTAAAACTGTAATACTCAATATATACTGATTAAAAAAGATGAATACAAGTCATGTTTGACTTCTGCAATTACAAGAGATGCTCAGAGTGGTTACCATCAGCATCCAGACACTTCTGATCACAGCGAACATTTCTTAACAACTCTTAAATGTATAAACTATTTTTTCTTGCCAAACACACATACACTCTAGAATGTATTTTAGTCTTAAAAATAAGTAAAATTAGCTGCAATCCCGTGCCTTTGGGAGGCTGAGGTGAGTGGATTGCCTGAGCCTATGGGTTCGAGACCCACCTGGGCAACTTGGTGAGACCTCATCTCTACAATAAATCAAAATGAGCCGGGCGTGGTAGCACACGCCTGTAGTTCCAGCTACTTGGAAGGCTGAGGCGGAAGGATTGCCAGAGTCCAGCAGGTCGAGGCTGCGGTGGCCGGGAGCAGCCACTGCACTCCAGTCTGGGTGACAGAGTGAGACTCCAACACACACACACAAAAGTAAAATTCTGATACAAGCCACAGTATGCATGAACCTTGAACCAGACACAAAAGGATGAATACTGAATGACTCCACAATATGGGGTACCTGGGATGGTCAAATTCATTCTTAGAGATAGGAAGTAGAACAGCATTTACCAGGGGTAGGGAAATGGTGAGCTAGTGCTTAATGGGGATGGAGTTTCAGTTTGGGATAATGAAAAAGTTCTGGAGATGATGGTGTTATTGGTTGCTAACAGTGTGAAAAAATGGTTAAAATGGTAGATTTGTGTTATGTACATTTTACCACAATTATATACGTAAACACACATAATTCAGGAGAAAATAAATCTCCTCAGGGAAACAGAAAAACAAGACTTTGTCAAACAGGTGTAATGGTTGGAAACTACAGAAAGCCAGAATTCTGTGAGAATCAAATGTTGTCTTCTAGCTGGGGAGGGACCAAGTGACATATGTTATCACTCAGGGAATTTCCCATTTGGAAAGAACAGTGTCCTGCAATGTGTTGTTTTTACACCCTTCTCCTCTGCTTCCCAGAAGGGAAAGTGGATGGCAGGAAGAGGGAACAACTTAGACACAAATGTTCTACCAGCTGGAAAGCAAAGCAAAGGCTGAAGGAAGCAACTGTGAGGGCTCTGGGCACCCATGTGCACTTAATAAATTCATGACAAGTCACAGAGATGCTCACCATGGAAGTGCTGCACATGGAGAAAAGAAAAAAGGTTCTTCTAAAAACATGCAAGGCAAAAGCACAGTCATGCAGTGCCACTAAGGTGGGATCCAGGAGCTTACTGACCTCAGTAGCCCTCAACTCTGAATTCGTAGGGATGCCCAACCCCATCCCCCCAAATTCTGATTCAGTTAGTATAGGGTGAGCTTGGGCGCTATTTTTCCCAAGCTGCTGTATGATTCTAACATGCAACAAGGGTTAAGAATCAGTGAAACTCTTATTCTAAGTCAGTATCTCCCAAAACATGCCACAGATCACGTGTGTTAGACCCACCAGAGTTCTTGTTCAAAATATAAGATCTAGGGACTCTGCTCCCAAAGCCAAGAAATCCTCATGTTTAACCAACACTCCCAATGATTCTTGAGCAAAGTTTTTTTTTAATGCTCTAAACAAGTCTCGCTTTGTTATAAATAACATTTTGGACTAGTTTACCATTATTCTTTGTTTACCACTATTCTCTGAACTAAAGATGTTTTGATAGAAACAGATTGCCTGTACTTGTGATTATCCATAAAGACTTACATCTGTGCCTGGCACAGTCCACATGGCTGATTCACCCATCAACAATCTGATCACCACCATTTATTACACATAGAGGAGGACACCGGAATTGGAGGCCTAGCTCTTAGGAAGGAATAACAGACATACTGAGCCAAACTTGCAAACCCAAACTTCCGAAGTGAAGGGAAGATGTCAGAAGGGGTTACTCTTTGGGTTTACTCCCCCAATTTGCTTAAACTGCTTTTTAATAATCTGATACACATACCTTAATTGATCCAAGAGCCCCAATGGCTACTTCAGGCGGCAGTATCACTGGTTTGGCATAGGTACCACCAATCTATTTAAAAAAAAAACGGAGAGTAGAAAAATTCAGCTTTCAGGAAACAAATGGCAAGTGACACTTTATATTTTTAATTAAGCCCATGACCGGGCTCTTAAGTTGTGGTTCATGACTTTGAACATTACAGCTACTCACGGATCCAATGTTGGAAAGAGTAAATGTTCCTCCTGTAAGGTCCGTGGTGCTGAGCTGACCTGCAGAGCCCAGCTGCTGGAGGCGATTCAATTCAGCAGCAATCTCAAACACAGAGCAGATCTGAACGTTCTTCACGTTAGGGACAATCAAGCCCTGCTCAGTGTCCATTGCTATCCCAATGTTATGAGAAGCCTAGAGCACAGAAATCATACAGTAGACTATTAGCAAGCCAACAGCAAAGAGAGGATCAACCTGCACGGTCTCCTAGACAATCACCCAAACTGACTTTCACCTGATTGGCAATGATTTAAAAGAATCATTTAGGCCAGGTGTGGTGGCTCACATCTAAGATCCTAGCGCTTTGGGGGACCAAGGTGAGAGGATTGCCTGAGTCCATGGGTTAGAGACTAGCCTGGGCAACTTGGCAAAATCTCATCTCTATAGTAAATCAAAAAATTAGCCAGGCGTGGTGGCATATGTCTGTAGTTTCAGCTACTTGGAAGGCTGAGGCAGAAGGATTGCCTGAGCCTAGCAGGTCGAGGCTGCAGTGGCCGTGAGTATGCCAATGCACTCCAGCCTGGGCGAAAGAGTGAGACTCTGACTCAAAAAAAAAAATCATGAAAAAATAATCTTAAAAATATTTTTAAAAAGATAATGCTATGCTGATAAGAACCTAGGACAGTGGAAGGTTTGCCTGAGCCCAGTAGGTCAATGCTGGGGTGGCCAGGAGAATGCCACGGAACTCCAGCCTGGGTGACAGAGTGAGACTCCAACTCAAAAAAAAAAAAAAGAATCTAGGACAGCAAACTCAACCCAAAACTTTTTTGAGGGCTGACATGATGTCATGGGACAGGTCACGGTCAAAACACAGTCAAAACTTTGTTCCGGTCAGGCACGGTGGCTCAGCTTATAATCAACATTTTGGGGGGCCAAGGCGAGAGGATTGCCTAAGTCCAGGGGTTAGGGACCAGCCTGGGCACCTTGGTGAGACCTCGTCTCTACAATAAATCACAAAAACTAGCTGGGTGTGGTGGCATGTGTCTGTAGTTGCAGCTACTTGGAAGGCTGAGCCCAGCAGGTCAAGGCTGCAGTGGCTGTCAGTGTGCCACTGTATTCCAAGCCTGGGCGACAGAATGAGACTCCAACTCAAAAAAAAAAAAAAAAAACACTTTGTTCCATGAACAAAACTATTAAAAATATTGTACACTATAACCTTCAGGCTATGTGTATAAGGTGTACAGGAAAAATAAACGAATTTCATGTTTAGACTTGGGTCCTATCCCTAAGATATCTCATTATATATGCACAAATATTCCAAAATCCAAAATCTGAAACACTTCTGGTCTCAAGCATTTCAAGTAAGGGATACTCAACCTGCATAGACTTTCTAGCCAACATGTGACACTATGTACCCATATTTATAAAGATCTGTGTTATGGAACTAAATGTAGAAGCATGAAGGGAACCCAGGGATATTGAGTTAAACTGGTTACAAGTCTGAGAAACTGTAAACACTCAAAAAGTTTATCAGTAGGTCACTGGCTAAATAAATGATGACAAATCTAAATTTACTGACATATAATGATGTCCATTACATATTAAATAAAAAAGACTTGGCTGGGAGCAGTGGCTCACACCTATAATCCCAGCACTTTGGGAGGCCGAGGTGAGAGAACTGCCTGAGCCCGCAGGTTCGAGATCAGCCTGGGCAACTTGGCGAGACCTCATCTCTACAATAAAATAAGAATAAAATTAGCCGGGCATGGTGGTGCATGACTGTGGTTCCAGCTACTTGGAAGGCTGAGGTGGAAGGATCACCTGAACCCAGTAGGTTGAGGCTGCGGTGGCCGTGAGCGTGCCACTGCAATTCAGCCTGGGTGACAGAGTGAGACTCTGACTCAAAAAATAAAAAAATCAAGAAGAGTTAAAGAAAAATATTAATAATTCTCCATATATTTCTAAAGTATGTAAAAGTGAAATCCTGGAAAGATGTATATCTCAACATAAACAGTGAGTTAAGCTAGTGTAATGGAATTGAAGGGAAGCATCCTTACTCCCTTGCCTGAAACCTTTGTAACAAGTATGTATTTAATTAGAAAATACTAAAATGAAAATAGACAGCTGGCTGTATTAACCATATGGAATACTTAGATCTGGTTCCCTAGAATATCTAAGTCACTTCCTGGTTGTATATTTCTTTTTTTCTTTTTGAGTCAGAGTCTCACTCTATTGCCCAGACTGGAGTGCAGTAGCACACTCATGGCCACTGTAGCCTTGACATTCTGGGCTCAGGCAATCCTTCTGCTTTAGCCTTCCAAGTAGCTGGAATTACAGGCACTTGCCATTATGCCTAGCTAATTTTTTTTTTGGATTTACTGTAGAGATAAGGTCTCGCCACGTTGCCCAGGCCGGCCTCGAACCCGTGGGCTCAGGAAATCCTCTCACCTCTGCCTCCCAAAGTACTGGGACTACAGGTGTGAGCCACCACGCCTAGCCTGGTTGTATATTCTAATAAGAAATGCACATAAGGCCCTCGTGGCCCAAAGAGTTCTCCATCTTGAGAAACTTTCACTCCAAACAGAAGAGTTCACTCGAATTGAATTGAGTTCACTTTTCTCATTTAAATTATTATATTTAAAAGTTCTAAAGATTCCACTTTGAGAGAGCTGCTCCTTTCTGAGAGGGTAAGTAGAGTAGGTAACATAAGCCACAGCCACACAGCCATGTATGTTCATTATTTTAAAGAGAGAACCAAAAAAGCTTCAAGATGGCAATCTCTGTATCGCAAGTTGCATTATTAGCCAGTAAAAACAACACTCCCAGCAATAAGTTATGCTTAAGTTGACTATTTTGTTCCATACTTTCAATTTTAGTCTAAAAGAGATCACTATCTGTGGTATGATGGGAGTCCCTGTAACCCACAAGCACATTTGCCCCATCTCCTACTCATAAGAGCATTTCCCACGGCATAGCCAACCTTGTATGTTATACTCTGGCAGTTTTCATCCACAGAGGCATTAAGGACAGGAAATTGTAGCAATCCCAAGGAAGCAGCCTGGTTAACAGAAAGAGAATGCAATGTCAGCAGTTTTAACTCAGAAGGGGTAGGGCATTCAAAGGAATAAGAGGCATAGAAGGTGGAAACTGGCCGGGCATGGTGGCTTATATACATAATCCCAGCACTATGAGATGCTGAGGTGAGAGGATTGCCTGAGCTCATAGGCTCAAGACCAGCCTAGGCAACCAACATGGTGAGACCTTGTCTCTACAATAAATCACAAAAAATTAGCCAGGCGTGGTGGCACATGCTACTTCCAGCTACTTGGAATGCTGAGGTGGAAGGATTGCCTAAGCCCAGCAGGTCGAGGCTGCGGTGGCCATGAGCGTGCTACTGCATTCCAGCTGGGCAACAGAGTGAGACTCTGACTTCAAAAAAAAAAAAAAGTATGTAATTTTCATTTACAGTGAGTTTAATTTCAAGTCTACATGCACCTAGGCTATTACTTCCAATGTCACCTTCAAGCAGTGCAGGACTAGGTCACTCAAGTTACTGAAAGATAAAAGATAAAGCTGTCAGATAGCTTATAAACATCAAGGAGATTTTCTTTTTTTTTTTAGTTGGAGTCTCACTCTATTGCCCAGGCTGGAGTGCAGTAGCATGCTCACGGCCACTGTGGCCAAGACTTGCTGGGCTCAGGCAATCCTTCCACCTCAGCCTTCTAAGTAGTTGAAACTACAGGAACGTGCTACCACACCCGGCATATTTTTTGATTTATTATAGAGACAGGGTTTCACCAAGTAGCCCAGGTTGGTCTCGAACCCCTGAGCTCAGGCAATCCTCTCGCCTTGGCCGCTCAAAGTGCTGGGATTACGCGTTTGAGCCACTGTGCCCAGTCAAGGAGATTTTCAAAATAACTATACAGACTGGCCAAAGTGCCAAAGAAAATGTCCAAATTCCAAGTGTTTTCCTCATTTACAAGTAGAGTCTTAAGATTCCCATAAGAAGTAAACCTATGCTGCACACCGTGGTTCACATCTGTAATCCCAGCATACTGGCAGGTGGAGGCAAGAGGAGTGCCTGAGCCCAGGGCTTCCAGACCAGCCTAAGCAACATGACAAGACCTGTCTCTACAATAAATCAAACCATTAGCCAGGCATTGTGGTGTGTGCCTATACTTTCAGCTACTTGGAAGGCTGGGGCAGAAGAATCACCTGAGCTTAGCAGATCAAAGCTGCGGTGGCCGTGAGCATGCCACTGCACTCCAACCTGGGCAATAGGGTGAGATTCCAACTCAAAAAAAAGGGGGATAAGCCTGTTCACTCTGTCACCCAGGCTGGAGTGCTGCAGTGGCACGCTCACGGCCGCTGCAGCCTCAACCACTGGGTTCAGTCCATCCTTCCACCTCAACCTTCCAAGTAGCTGGAACTACAGGTGCACGCTACCACACTGGACTTATTTTTTGAGTTATTGTAGAGATGAGGTCTCACCAAGTTGCCCAGGCTGGTCTTGAACCCGCAGGCTCAGGCAATCCTCTCGCCTTGGCCTCCTAAAGTACAGGGATTACAGGCTTGAGTCATCGAGCCCAGCCTTTCCCTTTGTCTTTTAATACCATTTCTCTCCTGACCATATTGAGTTCCCTAACTGTAACCAGCACTTTGGGAGGCTGAGCCTGGGAAACATAGCAAGACCTTGTCTCCACAAAAAAATAAAAAAACTAGCCAGGCATGGTGGCACGCACCTGTAGTCCCAGCTACTCAGGAAGCTGAGGCTGCGGTGAGCTGTGATTGTGCCACTGCACTCCAGCCTGGGCAATACAGTGAGACCCTGACAAAAAAAACCCCTCACAATATGTTAAAGCTTTGGTCTACCTTTGCTTCAAGACAGATCTGCTGTCACCAGGAAAGAGTAAGAGGAACCCAGTCAGAAATGGAGGTGGCGCTCACCTGCTCTCAAGATTCCCTCCGCACCCGGGCTGCATCTTGCACTTCCCCTAGTAGCAGGGTCTTGCTCCAAAAGTTCTTCCCACTTCCAATTATTTCACTTCCCCTTCTCCAGCTGTTTCCCTCAGCCTACAGTCTGCTTGATTTTTCCTTGAGGATGTGAAGGAGAGGCTGGAACCTGTCCTCGACCTCTTGCAACCTCCGTGACCACTCTCTGTACCTACTGCCCTACCTGCTCTCCCCCGACTTTCTCAGCATCTCCTCTTCCTCAATTTCCGGTCATTTCTGAGCCAACTGCAGTCAAACTTTTGCCTCAACTAGACTTTCTCAGTTACTTCTGGCTGAGGCCACGCCTGGCCTCTTCACAACTGCTCTGGCAGCCTGTTCCTGTCGTGTACATGTTTGACCGTGGTGATGCCTGTGATTGCTACCCTTCCCGTCCTAACGCCTTCTTCTCTTATGGTGGGAGCAGTGGAGTTGGTGGTCCCTCTCTCGTGGCCCTTTGTGCCCACACCCTCCGGGGGTGCTCTCTTGGGATGACTCAGCTGGGTAGAAAGGGCTTGGTCACCCATATGAGGTCGTGTGTAGGCTAGCGTGCAGGGGAGACAGGAGGGTCTTATAGGAAGGAGAGGCACCATCCCTGCGAGGACCACTCCAGCTGACAGTAGACACAACAGACCTCCAGAAGATCGGCAGACCCTACTCACCTGGAGACTCCAGAGAATGAGTGGCTGTGGTGTTAGACCATCACATGTCAGGGTGGTCTGTCATAGAGCAACAGACATGCTTGGCTTCTGAGTGACTTTTCCCTGGCTCTCCCATCTTTGTACCAGCTGCCACTCACCCTGTCTTTGCCAACTCAACTTGTACCCACCCTGGAAGCTCTGGCCTCCTTCTCATCCACCCCCTCCATTTGCTTTGTGTCTACAGAGGACTCTGTAGACATCGCCAAGTCCAAATGGCCTCCTCTCACCTGCAGATGTCTATTACACCCCATGCTTCCAGAACATCCGCTGGCCTGTTAGGGGAGTGGCTTAGAAAACCGAGAAAGGAAAACAGTTACTGGCTTCCTAAGCCCAACGTCCCATGAAAGAGAAAACTGGTAGGCGCTTGCAACACACTGAGATGAGTTGTAATGGAAAACTAAAGAGAGTCAGCCGTAGGAGGCTTCTGGGGGAGTCTATATGTGACCACAATTTGGGATTTGGGGGTGCAGGTATTTGATTGAGAGAAAGGGGCGCTTCAGGTGGAACTGTGTATTCCAGAAACTGTACGTGGCTTCGTCTGAGGTAGAGAGGGAAGGCTGGAGAGGCAGGCAGCAGAGACTCATGACAATATTTGCATGCCACACTCAGGAGATGGGAAACTATCCGAAAGTCAATGAAGAGAGTCACTGAAAAATCAGGGAATAACACATGATGTGATTTATGGAGGACAGGTCTTGTTGTAGTTTGGGCAAGGACTGGAAGGAGCCATACTGGTTAGAGATGTCAGATGCTGTTCTGATTATGACACCAGACCTGGAACAGTGCTCCACCTGTTGGCTGTAAGGCTGTGGTAAGTTTCCAGCCTCTCTTGAGTCCCAGTTTGCTTCTGTGGAAAGTGGGATCAGTGCTAGTTATATGCCAGAATTACTAAGAGTTAGGAAAGGATGGAGACAGCATCAGTATGGAGCCTGACATGCAGTAGCTGCTTCATAAAGTCATTAATGTGAACTAGACAGAACTGCTCAAGGTCAGCTGACAGTCTTATTCCATTTTATACTGGTCCTAAGGCCTAACACTAGAAATGATTCTCAGGAACTTTGATAGAAGTTTGTTTGCTGGGCATGGTGGTTTACACCTGTAATCCCAGCACTTTAGGCAGAGGTGAGAGGATTGCCTGAGCCCAGGGGTTTAAGACCAGCCTAGGCAATGCGCAAAATCTTGTGTCTACAATAAATAAAAAAATTAGCCAGGCTTGGTGGCAGTGCCTGTAGTTACATCTACTTGGAAGGCTAAGGTGGAAGGATCACCTGAGCCCAGCAGATCAAGGCTACGGTGGCTGTGGGTATGCCACTGCACTCTAGCCTGGGGACAGTGAGATTTTGCCTTCAATTAAAACAAAACTTTGTTGAATAAATGAAAATATATACATATCAGTGATATATACAAAATCAATATCAAGATCTCAGTGTAGGCCAAACCAGGAATTTGCTGGAGTGATCCTTTTAGAATTAAAGGATATATTCAACTGGAGGATAATGTCCACCTAACTCAAAAAGATAAATAGATAAAAACATGACACAGAAGTTTTAATTTTATAAATTCCTCTTAAACAAAAAACAATGCGTGTGCACATTCTAACTATATGATGTGATAAGTAATATTTTTATTCAAACCCACAGTCAACACATTGCGTATTTGGAAAACAAAATTTAAATGTCCAACTCAAGGCTTGTTTGAAATGAATGGAATCTCACCTTTAAGAAGAAAGGCATAAAGGAGAGTTTAATTCCACGAGCAAAAGCAACGTGTTTTAACTCTTCCCGTAGCTTCACCAGTTCAGTAAGGTCAACCTCGTCACAGTAGCCAAAGTGAGGTATCTTCAGGGCTGCAGACATAGTCTTGACCATTGCTTTCTGAAAGCCTGGAAAACACTCAACTGTTATTTATTTATTTCAATTCTTAAACCCTGGTATCCTTTTATTTATTTATTTATTTTAGATTAGAAAATAGTTTATTTAGAAAGTAAATTAGAGAGAAAAAGGTGATTCACCTCCCCAAGGTAAGAGAGGGAGCCAAAGTGTAAGAAAATATGCCCCCCCCCTTTTAAAAGTAGCTGTTATAGAAGGTTCTCTAAAGTCCTTTACTCTTTCAAATGAGCTCTGCCTCTCACGACCATCTTCATCCCATTACATTGAAAGGCACTGATTTCAAGGCTGGAGCCTGGACTGCACCACGATACCCAGAGTCAAGTGTAATCATAGCAGCTAACTGTTGTCAAAGCTGCAGGGTATACAAAATTCAAAAGGCTGTGAGCGAGTCATGTATTTACTCAGTGGTTTTTCTCACAAAACAACTCTTCTGGAAGTTAATCACCCTGAGAGTTTATAAATAAGAAATCAGAACTAGTTATTTTGAAAACTAACTAAAAATAATGAATTTCTAAAATATCTTGAGTGAGTCTTCGAATAGAACAATTATCAGTATACAACTCTGTATTTCAAGAAACCTGCTAACGCATTACTCTTCAGAAATTAACAGTTACACACGAATTGGAAGTATATCCTGGAAAAACCATGCTGTTGTACCATTTAAAAATTATATGCTGAATTTGAACTTTCTCTTCAGTAAGAATTGACAACACCATATTATATATGAGAGGGGACCTAAAAAAAAAAACCCTAGAATTTACATATAAAAATTGTGAATTTATTCTTACATGTCTAAACTTCAGTCACCATCAAAGTACTCTACATTTGATGCAATATACCTATCGAGACACTTTTCCATTGCTCACAACAGTTTTTGAACTTGTTAATTTTGATGCCTTTTAGTCCTTCTGCCATTTTTTGCTTCACCGCTTCCATATCGGCAAAACATTTCCCTTTGAGGATTTTTTTCAATCAGGGAAACAAAAAAAAAAGTCACTCAGGGTGAGACCTGATGAATAAGGAGGGTGGGGCATGGAGTTCATGCTGTTTTGGGTCAAAAACTGCTGAACACTCAGTGTGGCGTGGGCAGGTGCACTCATAAATTACCCATCACAAATGGGCAAATGCTCAAAAGAACCTCCAAAAAAAAAGAAAAGAAAAAAAAAAATCACTGAAGTGGAATACAGTCACTCACAACAATGCTAGCTGGTCCATAGATGCTGATGGGATCCTAGGACACTTATCTAGCAGGGAAAGCCTGTACTACAACAGGCCCATCCTCCAAAAGATAACTTCATTTTTTTGGGTCCCCCTTACACATTTATCTATTGAAGTAGCTTCGCCCCAAGGTAAGCATATACTGCCTTACATGACTGTCATTATTACCTTTTATGGGTTCTGTTTTGTCTCTGCCTGTGAATACTGGAGGCTTCGTTACTAGTATGGGGATAGGCATGTCTTTTGGTTTTGGCGGAGAAGGCATAATTTCAGCTTTTGGTGAAGGAGGTAATATCGCTCCTGTCTGCTTTTCCAAGTAGTTGAGAATATCTTCTTTAAGTATTCTGCCATCTTTTCCCGAGCCAACAACTTCACTCAGCTTAATCTAAAAATGACATACAATTACTTAAAAATATATCTATCATTAAAGTTCCAAAATGGGATTTAACCAGTTGAAGACAAAAATATAACTCTAAATAAACTTGTACAAGGAAAAAAACATTTCATTATCTTAATAGATAAGCTGCAGTCACTCTGCATAAGTAATCACTTATTACTTTTGTACAGTGTTCATTTGCCCATGTGGTAACTATGAGGTGTCTATATTATACAACCCACAGCTATTTATGAAAACTTAATTTTTTTTTTTTTTTGAGTTGGAGTCTCACTCTGTCACCCAGGCTGGAGTGCAGTGGCATGCTCACGGCCACCACAGCCTTGACCTGCTGGGCTCAGGCGATCCTTCCACCTCAGCCTTCCAAGTAGCTGGAACCAGAGGCACGTACCACCATGCCTGGCTAATTTTTTTTTATCTATTGTAGAGATGAGGTCTCACCAAGTTGCCCAGGCTGGTTTCTAACCCGTGGCAATCCTCTCACCTTGGCTTCCCAAAGTTCTGGGATTATAGGCATGAGCCACCGTGCCCGGCCAGAAAACTTACATTTTTAAACAGTCAGGTAAATATTTTTAAATCTCTTGCACAATTCTTACTCAATCTTTTCTATTCTTGGAGACTATATAAGAAGAGGGAGAACTGAAAATTTAAAGGAGAAATAAACACTATAACAAATCAGACCAATGTTTCTTTGGTTACCAGTTAAAGATAAATAACCATCATACAGAAGCTTTCTCAAACTAGTTTTTTTCTGCTTTGGAAAAAAAAAAGAATTTAAATATTTTTAAAGCAATTACAAACAACTGTAAACGTATATTTTTTAATTTTTTGAGTTGGAGTCTCACTCTGTTGCCCAGGTTGGAGTGCGATCCTTCTACCTCAGTCTTCCAAGTAGCCAGAACTACAGGACATGCTACCATGCCCAGTTAATTTTTTAAAAAATTTATTTTAGAGACAAGGTCTCGCCAAATTGCCCAGGCTGGTCTCGAACCTGCGGGCTCAGGAAATCCACTCTCCTTGGCCTCCCAAAGTGCTGGGATTAGAGGCTGAGCCACTGAGCCCAGCCGGTTTTTAATTTTAAATAAACTCAATTCACAAATGTGCAAACTGCAAGGGAAAAAAATGTGATGTATAATAAAACCCACTATTTAATTTCTAGTAATCATACTGATATTCTAGTTATACATATCTTCAGGAAATGATATTAAAAAAAATCAAGGCTGGATGCGGTGGCTCACACCTATAATCCCAGCACTTTGGAAGGCTGAGGCAAGAGGATTGCCTGAGCCCACAGGTTTGAGACAAGCCTGGGCAACTTGGTGCAACCTCATCTCTACAATAAATCAAGAAAAATAAATTAGCCGGGTGGGATGGCACATGTCTGTAGTTCCAGCTACTTGGAAAGTTGAGGCAGAAGGATCATCTGAGCCCTGCAGGTCGAGGCTGTGGTAGCCATGAGCGTGCTATTGCATTCCAGCATGGGCGACGGAGTGAGGCTCTAACTCAAAAAAAAAAAAGAAAAAAGAAAAATATCAAATCATGTATTTCTTCTGCAGGTGGCTTTTCTATATAATTAAGAAAAAAATTAATAAAATGCTTTATAGCTGCCAAAACAGTATGTAAAATCATGATTTCATCTGATACCCTTGATCATCTAGTATTCCATATTGCTATTCCTATCTTCTTTGTGCTAAATGTCTTCATATTTAAACACATTTAAGGTTACACAAAGTTTCATCCAGGATGCATAACAGAATTCACCTAAGCATTTCCCTGATTTTAAACACATATGGCCAGGCACAGTGGCTCAAGCCTGTAATCCCAGCACTTTGGGAGGCCGAGGCAAGAGCATTGCTTGAGTCCAGGGGTTTGGATCAGGTTGGGCAACTTGATGAGATCTCATCTCTACAATAAATTTTAAAAATTAGCCAGGTGTGGTGGTGCATGCCTGTGGTTCCAGCTACTTGGAAGGTTGAGGTGAAAGGATCACCTGAGTCCAGCAGGTCAAGGTTGTGGTGGCTGTGAGTGTGCCACTACACTCCAGCCTGGGCAAACAGAGTGAGACTATGACTCAAAAAACAAACAAACAAAAAAGTATTCACCTTATAATTGTTAGCTATATAAAACACAAGGAAAAACATATCCCAGATTATTTTCTTGGGATAGTCCCATGATAATGACTCTATCACATATTTCCAAAATGTCAACCTCTATGTTTTCCCCACAGTAACATCACTAGTTCTCCCAAAAGCCAACAAGCAAGTCTGTGCTGCAGGCACCGTGCAGAGGACTCAGGCTTTAGAGCAGAAATGTCTGCGATCCACCCCAGGCCAGCTTACTTAGTTCAGATAACCTGCTCCTGTACTTTCTCATCAGCAAAGTGGAGACAGTCCAAACTACTCTTTAGGGCTGTTGTGAGTGTTAGACAATGTGTGAGTAAGCATCCAGCACGTACATGCTGAAGTTATGGAGGCCAAAGCTTCTGAGGCAGAATGCAATCCCTATGAGCACTGGTTCTGGAGTGGCACAGATGCACTTGGATTCTGGCTCTGCTGCTAGGCTAGCTGTGTGACCTTGGTCAAGTTACTTAACCTCTCCAAGTCTTAAGATGCCCTCTTATCTATAGAGTCAAGTGAGATAATCAGTTAATACTTATCATAGTGCCAGAGAGTCACCTTAGCAGGCATCCTATCCTCCATTCAGTTAGCAACTGGCAGAGGAAACTCCTTTCCTCAAAGGAGTTTTGTGCTTCTGCCCACCCCCTGTGAATCAGGCCAGATCCTTGGTACCACACCCACACTGACTATCTCCTTTCTCTTTTCTTTCCTATCCTGCCTCCTGCACTTACAAGCTTTCACTCTTTCAGTCAGTCAGTCACAGACATCTAAACTCCTGCCTCAAGATGTGCTTCCAGGGTACCTGACCTAAGACACTGCCATTTACAAATGCTCAATAAATGGCAGCTCTTACTATTATTAGGCTGTAAGAAAGCATAATAAAACCATGCTGCTCAATTAATGTTTTGGAATAGGTTCAAAACTCTTTATTTCTCCCAAGTACTTTTATGTAACTGTCAACTTCAGAAACAAACATTTTCCCATTTTCTTTACTCTTGAGTGATCCCATGGGGTGGTTGGCTGATTTTCAGAGACACAAATATATTTGCTATACATCTCAGACAGAAATTTTCAGAAAACTCACATTGTTTTCCATTGCAAGGCGGCGGACTGCAGGGGTTGCCAGAGTCTTCTGGCCCTTTATCTCCTGGTGCGTGTGCTCCTCATGGGACACGGCCGGAGCCTCGACCACATCTTCTTCTGAATCTAGTTATACCGTAAAATTCAACTTCAATGGAAAACATTTTTTTAAATCTTTTTGTTGTTGTTGTTGGAGTCTCACTCCTTTGCCCAGACTGGGGTACAGTGGCACACACGCTCACGGCCACCCTAGTGTCGAACTTCTGGGCTCCAGCGATCCTTCCGCCTCAGTCTTCCAAGTAGCTGGAACTACAGACGCATGATACCACGCCCAGCTATTTTTTATTTTATCGTAGAGACGAGGTCTCGCCAAGTTGCCCGGGCTGGTCTTGAATCCACAGGTTCAGGCAATCCACTTGCCTCAGTCTCCCAAAGTGCTGGGATTACAGGCTGAGCCACCAAGCTCAGCCCATTTAAAAAAAATCTTAGTGGCTTATAACACCTAAATAAATTCAGCTTAGAGTTCACAGTCTAAATGCATAATAGTTGAGCTACTTCAGAAAAAGAAAACACTACTATCCAACCAGTGGGTGAAGTCGAGGGGTGTTATACTGCTACCTGGCACTGTTTAATTATTAGCACCTATTGTATACTTTCCTTCTGTTAATACCATACAGCAGCTGCAAGTTACAAAATGAGTGTTTCTTTCACAAGTTTCAAAACATGTAGGATTTTAAACATTTTCCTAATGAAATTCTCATTTATATTTATAAATAACATGAAATAAGAATTAAATGTGAGGTAAACTATATGAAGGAATCATAAAATCTGTGACCATCTTAAACACTTTGCTGAGATGACACAGTATTTAAGATGTTGCTCTGCTTTGAATACAGCCTGAGCAATGTGGTGGTTAATGCTAAATTGACTGTTCTATTCTCTCACTCTGGAGTCCCGGAATCAGAAAAATGACTCCAGGCTATTAGCACGTATTTTTACAAGCAAAGAAAAATAAATAAATAAAAGCATTTGAGAGCACTTAATTGACAAAGTCTGCTGTTAGGAAATCAGTGATGAATGTGATTAGCAGAATCTGTCTGAATTGGTAAATTAAAGTCTGACAGAAATGAAAACGAGCAGACAACTGAATTTGCTGTGAGAGCTTTGACATTCAATTCTAGGTAAATAAAAGTCCTTCCCAGGCTGGGCACAGTGGCTCAAGTCTGTAATCCCAGCCCTTTGAGAAGCTGAGGCGAGAGGTTTGCCTGAGCCTAGGGGTTCAAGACCAGCCTGGGCAACTTGGTGAGACCTTGTCTCTACAGTAAATCAAAAAATAATCAGGCGTGATAGTGCACGCCTTTAGTTACAGCTACTTGGAAGGCTGAGGTAGAAGGATTGCCTGAGCCCAGCAGGTTGAGGCTGCAGTGGCCAAGAGCATGTCACTGCACTCCAGCCTGGGCAACAGAGTGAGACTCCAAAAAAAAAAATTCCTTCCCTGTTGCAACCATAGAAAGATATCCTGTTAATTCCTCTTTTCTAGTCTATGGCCTGGTTCAACAGAATCACAAAAAATTCCCCAAAGGGAGAGCAAGGGAAGGATAAAGTAAACTTGTAGTAGCACCTCTTATGTGTCAAATATTGTACTACGTAGGCAATATCTTAACTTTTCATTATTATTATTATTTTTTGGAAATACAGGCATGCGCCATCACATCCAGCTAAATTTTTCTTGATTTATTGTAGATATAAGGTCTCGCCAAGTTGCCCAGGCTGTTCTCGAACCCATGGATTCAGGCAATCCTCTCACCTCAGTCTCCCAAAGTGCTGGGATTATAGGCGTCAGTCATCACACCCAGCCAATATATCTTAACTTTTTGAAGTGAGGTTTGATGGATGGGCCCAAGGACACACATCTAATTAATCCAAGAGCTGAGATTCAATCCCAGGGCTGACTTGATCTGTGAGGTTTCCATTAGTTCATGTCCCTAGGAAATTTTCTTTCTGATCAAAGTAGCTGGAACACAACTTCTACAACTCAGGGCATATTTCTGTTGAACTTTCAAAATCCCTGTATAGTCTCATCTGTTACAGTTACTGGAGAGACCAGAATTAGGAACTAAGATACAAAAAAGGACCGGGAGATTCACTGGCAGGAACTCCAAATACTAACTTGGATAATGCATATTTGCTGAAGAAATAGAAATGTATAAATATCCAATTGTAGCAAATATCAAAATTAGTACAGGCCGGACTTGGTGGCTCAGCCTGTAATCCCAGCACTTTGGGAGGCCGAGGCGAGTGGGTTGGCTAAGCCCGTAGGTTCCAGACCAGCCCAGGCAACTTGGTGAGACCTTGTTCCTACAATAAATAAAAAATTAGTCAGGTGCAGTAGCACACACCTACAGTTCTGGCTACTTGGAAGGCTGAAGCGGAAGGATTGCTGGAGCCCAGCAGGTTGATGCTGTGGTGGCTGTGAGCATGCCACTGCACGCAAGCCTGGGCGACAGAGACTCCAACACAAAAAAATAAACAAACAAATAAATTAGTACATATTTCCCAAAGATCAAATAATAACTGCTGCTCACCTTTCTAGAAACATTTTGTGATATATTACCTACATGGTGCCACCTTTTAGAATAACTGGGTGTAAATGAGTCAGAAAACAATCTATGTGTGAGAAGTCATTCATATATCATTTGTAACAGTCATGTAGATACTGGACAAAAGCTCTCTTAATTAAGTATTAAAATATCTTGTACTACATAGCACTTTAAATAATCTTCAGTGTTTTTACACATCTTCTCTTTGTGTGTGTGTGTGTCAGATCTCTCTCTGTTGCCCAGGCTGGAGCACAGTGGCACAATCACAGCTCATTGTAGCCTCAACCTCCTGGGTTCAGGTGATCCTTCTGCCTCAGCCTCTCAAAGTAGCTGGAACTATAGGCACATACCACCATGCCTGGCTAATTTTTTGATTTTTTTCTAGAGATGAGGTTTCACTATATTGCCAGGCTGGTTTCGAACTCTTGGGCTCAAGTAATCCTCCCACCTTGGCTTCCCAAAGTGTTGTATTACAACTGTGAGCCACCATGACTGGCTAATGATGTTAAAAGAATGACAGAATCCAAAAGTCATCATTCCACCATCACTAAAGCAACTATGGATTTAGGAAGGCTCTCAGATGATATTATCAACTGCTTATAGAGTGCCAAAATACCACCACATACCTACCTTCCAGATTAAAAAAGGCAAATGCCACTGTTTGGAGGGCTGAGGATATCAGATGCTAACTCAGAGTATAAGCTCAACATCACTATGGCAGGTATCCAGAGGGAGACCATGTGCACACATCATCATCCATGAGGTATTTCAACCAAGATATTTAACTTGAACCTAGCCTTTAAAACTTATTTCTGAGCTGGGCATGGTGGTTCATGCCTGTCATCCCAGCACTTTGATGTTTGAGACCAACCTGAGCAACATGGTGAGATTTTTGTCTCTACAGTAAATCAAAGAAATTAGCTGGGCATGGTGGCACACACCCATAGTGCCAGCTACTTGGAAGGCTGAGGCAGAAGGATCACCTGAGCCCAGCAGGGTGAGGCTGCATTGGCCATGAGTGTGTCACTGCAATCCAGCCTGAGTGACAGAGTAAGACTCCAACTCAAAAAAACAAACTAACAACAACAAGAAAAAACTATGTGTATATATGTACTAGAAAAACATCTGGAATAATATATACTCGTATTAATACTGTGATTTCTGAGTAAATATGTTTTTTAAATTTTTGGTTTTCTGTATTTCAGAACTTTCGACAATGTACATAGCCAGCCTTTATAATAATACAAATTAAATCAGTAATAGGCAGCCTTCAATAAGACAGAGGTATTATGTCATAGTAGAAAATATCCTGGACAAGGTCTCAGGACATCTAAGTTCTAAATTTGGCCCTGTCGTTGACCATTGAGCAAACTGGTCAATGCTTCTAGTTGGGTTTACTGTCTTCATTTGTTAAACTGGAATACCTCACAGAATAATAGGTATAAAAATTTTATAATTGTAAAGTATGACTCTAAAAAAAAAGTAACTGTAATATAATTATTATAGTACAGACTGTAGAACTAAGTATCAGTCAACCACTGTAATTCAATTATCATTTCCAGACTTCTGAATTACACTCCCGAGACATCTATATCTCAGCACTTCCAAAGTAGAATGCTGGCCTAGGAGACACATCTCAGGACACTACTGCTCCTCCAGTCCCTGTTATCAAAGCTGTCCCCTGTTTAACATGACTTTGGCACATCACAATGATATGGGAAGAGACTATTGAGGTAGATAGTCAGCTGCCTGCCTGCACTGGGCTTACATACTGTTTCAGTTTTCCTCTGTAACCGTCTTACAACAAATTCTCTTTAGCAAGACCATCTGCCATTCATAATTCTTCTTCTGAATGCTGGTGTCTTCACTTGTAGATTTTCCCTCTTTTCTCCTTAACTCCTATTGAACAAGTTTGGTTTTTTTTTGTTTTTTTTTTTTGAGTTGGAGTCTCACTCTGTCCCCCAGACTGGAGTGCAGTGGCCGTTCCCGGCCACCGCAGCCTCGACCTGCTGGGCTCCGGCGATCCTTCTGCCTCAGCCTTCCAAGTAGCCAGAATTACTTACAGGCATGTGCTACCACACCCAGCTGATTTTTTGATTTATTGTAGAAATGAGGTCTCGCTGCCCACGCGGGTCTCGAACCCGCAGGCTCAGGCAATCCACTCACCTCAGCCTCCCAAAGGCATGGGATTACAGGCTGAGCCACCGAGCCCAGCTAAGTTTGGTTTTTATAATCATCCCAAATGAGAGTCCTTTTTTTAAAATTTTTAAATTTTTTTTGGTATCAGTGGCAAACAGAGCAATCCATTATGTTAGATTTTATCTTTTATCTTTGCATACTTCAATTTTTGTTCTTACTGGTCAGTATTTAGAGCCCAAATCTTTAATTACTGAGAGAGCTTGTGGCTTGTTTGAACACTAAGGTTTCCAGAAGGTAGGGCTCTTGATAAGTGAAGTGTTAACTGTACCTGTTGCCAACATGGTAACTGGCCAAAAGATAATCATGCATCACAGAGAACCTTTCGGTTTTCCTTATTTGGGCTTCTAAACCCCCAACTCAAATCCTGTAAGGTATTAAAAGTAGAAGATCACCTGTAATTGAGACCCAATGGCAAAAGGACAACAGTAACCAATTTGTTGAGACAGATAAGTAGATTTACAGATTTACCTTTCAAAGCCTCTGTTTCTATGTCTACCAGAGGCTTCCCCACGTAGGCAACGTCATCTAGATTATAGTAGAGTTTTTTAATGACTCCATCATAACGACTAGTGATAGTAACTGAAGCTTTATCACTTTGGACTTCACAGATGCTATCAAACTGAGACACTGTATCTCCTTCTTTCACAAACCTAAAAGAAAAAGACATGAGATACTTTTACATAAAAAATCATAAGTACAGACCATCCTAATGATGTAAAAGTCAAACTGAGTTAGAACATAGATTCCACTCCAGTCAAGCATTCACTTCCTGATGGAGGACTATGAAATGCTTTTAGAGAAGACTATGATGGCTTCCAGAGTCTCTTTGATGTGTCTACAAAACACTAAAAATGTTTAAGCTGTTCACAGTCTAAAATCCAAAAATCTAATTTAACTTGCAGGTTTTCTGCCTGACCCAGCTATTAGGGATAAACATATTTTTAAGTGATATTTCCTTTTATTGTTTTATATTACCCTTTTTCAAACTTTAAGGGATGCCCACTCTTTACAGAATTAAGTTTAAAATTGATGTCCTCTGGCCGGGTACAGTGGCTCATACCTCTAATCCCAGCACTTTGGGAGGCCGAGGTGGGAGGACTGCCTGAGCCCATGGGTTCGAGACCAGCCTGGGCAACTTGGTGAGACCTCATCTCTACAATAAATCAAAACATTAGCTGGGCGTGGTGGTGTGTGCCTATAGTTTCATCTACTTGGAAAGCTGAGGCAGAATGATCACCTGAGTCCACCAGGTCGAGGTTACAGTGGCAGTGAGCAAGCCACTGCCCTCTAGCCTGAGCAACAGAATGAGACTCCAACTCATATAAATAAATAAATAAAAATAAAATTGATGTCCTCAATACACAACCTTTATAATTTCATGAATTTTGGGTAGAAGTTCTCTCAGTCTTTCTTTCTAGAATTATTTTAGACTGCCCTTGCTTGTAAGTCTCTTTATCTCCTTCAGCATTTTAGGTATACTTTACAAGCCTTTTCTAGATCATCTTAGCAAACAGAACGGGGGAAGGGGACCAAACCAGAAATATTACATCTAGTTTTGACCCTGATACCATTCTTGCTGTGTCTAGCGCATTCTGACTTATTGCCATCAATTCTTCAAGATCATTGCTCAGGCATTCTTGCTCCTTGTCTTCCTGTTTTAACCAGTCCTCAGCCCGTGATAATGCAATCATGAGGTAGAAACTAGATTTAAAATCACATGGAGAGGACATTCCCTTCCAGAATGAGGGATTAGGGATCACCAAGAACCTGCTCCATGTAAACAACAAGTACAGTTACAAAAGTGGTTAAAAATACAGTTTTTTCCAAAATTTTGGAAATTAAATAATGGCTTGCATTAACTGAGAAGTACTCAAATCAGGAAAAATGGTTGAACCTCCTTGAACACAGTGAGGATTGTGATATATATATATACATTTATTTTTTTGAGTCCGAGTCTCACTCTGTGTCCAGGCTAGAGTGCAATAGCACGCTCATGGCCACTGTAGCTTCACTCTGATAGGCACAGGAGATACTTTCGCTTCAGTCTTCCAAGTAGGTGAAACTACAAGTGTGCGCCACCACGCCCAGCTAATTTTCTGATTTATTGTAGAGACGAAGTCTCACCAAGTTGCCCAGGCTGGTCTCGAACCTGTGGGCTCAGATAATCCTCTTGCCTCTACCTCTCAAAGCACTGGGATTACAGGTGTGAGCAACTGTGCCCAGCCAAGTGCTGTGATTTTTTTTTTTTTTTGGAGTTGCAGTCTCATTCTGTCACCCAGGCTGGAGTGCAATGGCATGCTCAGGGCTACCCCAGCGTTGACCTGTTGGGTTCCGGTGATCCTTCTGCCTCAGTATTCCAAGTAGCTGGAATTATAGGCATGCATTACCTTGACTGGCTAATTTTTTGATTTTTATTGTAAAGATGAGGTCTGACCATGTTGCCTAGGCTGGTCTCAAATCCACAGGCTCAGACAATCCTTTCACTTCAGCCTCCCAAAATGCTGGGATTATAGGCTTGAGCCACCACATCCAGCCTATACTGTGATATTTTAATGTGTGCAATTCCCACTCTCCTCTGCCTAGGAGGAAAGCAAGACAACTGCATTGAAGCAATCCTTATAAAACTGAGTTGATGCGCCTAGGGTGTTTAAAGAGGGGATATGCATGACAGAGCAAGCAGAGGGAGGGGAAGGAGCTACAATGGAGCAAGGTTTTCATATACTATTGAAATTTGTTGTTACTAACTCAGATGACACTGTTATATAGAAAGATGTGCCATGCAAACAGTAACCAAGAGAAAGCTGGAGTGGCTATACCAATATTAGGCAAAATAGACTTTTATGACAAAAACACATATAAAAGCCAAACTTGGATGGGTGTGGTAGCTCATGCCTATAATTCCAGCATTTGGGGAGGTCAAGGTGAGAAGATCACTTGAGGTCAGGAATTTGAGACCAGCCTGGGCAACCACACAAAGACATTGCCTCTACAGAAAAGATTTAAAAATTAGCCAGGTGCAGTGGTGAGCACCTATAGCCCCAGCTACCCGGGAGGCCAAGGCAAAGGATCGTCTGAGCCCAGGAGGTCGAGGCTGCGGTGAGCCATGATTGTGCCACTGCGGTCACAGAGTAAGACCCCAACTCAAAAAAAGAAAAAAGAAAACAAAAGGTCACCTGTGGCGGCTCATGCTTATAATCCCAGCACTTTGGGTGGCCAAGGTGAGAGGACTGCCTGAACTCATGGGTTCAACCCCAGCCTGGGCAACTTGGCGAGACCTCATCTCCACAATAAATCAAAAAATTAGCTGGGCATGGTGGCATGTGCCTGTAGTTCCAGCTACTTGGAAGGCTGATGCAGAAGGATCACCTGAGCCCAGCAGGTTGAGACTGAGGTGGCTGTGAAAGTGCCACCACATTCTATCCTGAGTGACACAGTGAGACTGACTCAATAAAAAAAAAAAAAAATCCAAACTTGTTTCAGAACTTTGTGAAAAGCTTTGTGAAATTTAAGTTTTTTTTTTCTTGATTCATACATTTTCTCTCACAAATTCTAAGATTAAATGAAGTTTTATTGACATATAAATCACACTACTTTTTGTTAAATTGTGCTTCCTTATATCTTCACATTTCCATTCTCAGACTCTACTTTATAAGGACAGAACTCTGTTTAGCATTTAGCAGGTACAACACAGTATATTCATGTTTTCCTTGAGTTCTTTATAGATATTATGTTAGAGAAAAAACACAGAATTCAAGAGACCTCTTCTTACTTCTTAAAGAACTTCTAAGAATCTAGTCAAATGATTTGTTTCTTATTATAAGAGCTATTATTGAAGTGCCGGGTGCAGTGGCTTACGCCTGTAATTCCAACACTTTGGAAGGCTGAGGTGAGAGGATTACCTGAGCCCATAGGTTCGAGATCAGCTTAGGAAACTTGGTGAGACCTCATCTTTACAATAAATAAAAAAGTTAGCTGGGTGGTGGTGTGCACCTGTAGTTCCAGCTACTTGGAAGGTTGAGGCAGGATTGCCTGAGCCCAGCAAGTGAGGCTGCGGTGGCCGTGAGCATGTCACTATACTCCGGTCTGGGCAACAGCAAGATTCTGACTCAAAAAAAAAAAAAGAGATATTAGAATGTCATTAGGGGTCGGGCTCGGTGGCTCAGCCTGTAATCCCAGTACTTTGGGAGGCCGAGGTGAGTGGATTGCCTAAGCCCACGGGTTCGCGACCCACCTGGGCAACTTGACGAGATCTCATCTCTACAATAAATCAAAAATTAGCCAGGCATGGTAGCGCGCGCCTGTAGTTTCAGCTACTTGGAAGACTGAGGCGGAAGGATCGCCGGAGCCCAGCAGGTCGAGACTGCGGTGGCCGGGAGCGGCCACTGCACTCCAGTCTGGGTGACAGAGTGGGACTCCAGCTCAAAAAAAAATAAAAAAAATAAGAATTTCATTAGGAACGAAATTATTTCCTCTTTCAAGAGCTTGAAACTCTATAGTAAGCATATGGATTTAGAGAATTGATGAGAGGTAGAAATTAAGAAATATCTTTTTAAAAAATCTAGAAATGCCAGGTGTGGTGGCTCATACCTATAATCCCAGCACTTTAAGAGGCAGAGATGAGAGGATTGTTGAGTCCAGGGGTTCAAAACCAGCCTGGACAACTTGGTGAGACCTCTCTTCTACAATTAATCAAAAAATTAGCTGGGTGTGGTAGCACACGCCTGTGGTTCCAGTTACTTGGAAGGCTTAGGTGGAAGGATCGCCTGAGCCCACCATGTTTAGGCTGTGGTAGCCATGAGCATGCCACTGCATTCCAATTTGGGTGACAGAGTGAGACCCTGACTAAAAAAAAGAAAAAAAGAAAAATCTAGAAAGAGTAGTCCTGGTCTTAAAAAGTCAGTAACTTAAACGTATACAATACTTTGCCAATTTTAAAGGCATTTACTATGAATTATATTATTTTGATTCTTTCAATAGCCTGTCAGTTGGCAGAACAAGTATATTTTCCCTCATTTTATACATTAAGAGACAGTCACAGTAGAGACCAAGTGATTCACAGTCAGGAGAGCTGCCTTTTTAAATTAATTAATTAATTAATTAATTAATTAATTTTCTTAGTTAGAGATGGGGGTCTCACTATGTTGCCCAGCCTGGTCTCAAATTCCTGGGCTCAAGTGATCCTCTGACCTCAGCCTCCCAAAGTACTGGAATTACAGGCATGAGCCACTGTGCCTGGCCAAAACAGCTAGTGCATTTTAAAGTCAAGGTCATCTGATTTGAAGTCCATTGTTCTTTCCATAATCCCACAATGTCACCAGAGACAAAAGGTGTGCTTCTATTATGACAGTTCTCTTCTACTGTACAAAGAAATAATGACAAGAACCGCAGGAAAAGAATGTTCAGCTGACTAAGTCAGATCCCTAGAAGGATCTTTAACAGCATACAACTCTGGCGGGAAAGGGTCTATCTACTTGCCTTAACTGTTACTTCTAAGAACTTCTAAAACTGAGCTCAATTCCCACAGAAGTTTTTTCCAGAAGGTGAAAGAAAGAAAAGGGATAGAAGATGACTAAGGTAGTAAAAAGATTTTCTGTTGTCATTTTTTAGTCCCTTTTTTGCATAATTTTTTTTTTTTTTGAGTTGGAGTCTCACTCTGTCTTCCAGACTGGGGTGCAGTGGCCACTCCCGGCCACCGCAGCCTCGACCTGCTGGGCTCTGGCGATCCTTCCACCTCAGCCTTCCAAGTAGCTGGAACTACAGGCACGCGCACCATGCCCGGCTAATTTTTTTTATTTTTTTTGTAGAGATGAGGTCTTGCCAAATTGGCCAGGCGGGTCTTGAACCCGCGGGCTCAGGCAATCCACTCACCTCAGCCTCCCAAAGCGCAGGATTACCGGCTGAGCCACCCAGCCCGGCCTGCATAATTTTTTTAATGTTTCAAAAATTTTTTTGTGAATTTGTACCTTCTGGTAAAATATTTTAATCTTTTCTAAACATATAGACAAACTGTGTCAGGTAATGGTGAGAGAAACCTACTTTCTTACTGAAGTCATTTTTAGTCCAATAAAGAGAGTTTAGGCCAGGTGCAGTGGCTCACATCTGTAATCCCAGCATTTTGGGAAGCCGAAGTGAGAGGACTGCCTGAGCCCATGGGTTCAACACAAGGCTGGGCAATTTGGTAAGACCTCATCTCTACAATAAATCAAAAAACTTAGCCAGGTGTGATGGCGCATGCCTGTAGTTCCAGCTACTTGGAATGCTGAGGCAGAAGGATCACCTGAACCCAACAGGTCGAGGCTGCAGTGGTCATGAGCATGCCACTGCACTCCAGCCTGGGAGACAGAGTGAGACTCCAACTCAAAAAAAAGAGAGAGAGAGTTTACACTATCTGATGGTTTTAAGATAGTTTGAAAGGAAACTGTAAATTAATACATTAAGTGTTATGCCAATATATTATCTTTCAAAGGTTAATATAAATACATGGTGTTATGCCAATATATCATCTTTCAAAGGTTAATTTCTCTTTTTTAACTGAAGTGAGGGTAGACAGTAAAATAATTTTTTTAAAGAGGAAAAATAATCCTAAATACAATTCCTTGGTGTATAATAAATAATCCTAAATACAATTCCTTGGTGTATAATAAATTCCATCTCCAGGATCTTATCAACACAAATTCTAGCTAATTGCTTTTATAAAGGCATTATATGTTACATAAAGAAGTTTCTTAATTTGACGTGAGTCCCTACTTATTTATACTCAAATCATTTTTAATTGACTTGAAGTTTTTTTTTCAGATTAACTTACCATTCTTTGACAGTCACTTCTCTAATCCCTTCTCCAATGTCTGAGAGTTTGAACTGAACAATCTGTCCACGTAGAGCTTCAAAGGCAAATAAAAAATGACCCTCATTACATATGTAAAGTTGCAGCAACACATAGACACTTTACACAGAACATTAGAGAATGGTCTCAAGGAGAGGCAGATGTTGTTCTAACAGAAAGAAAAAACAGCACAGAACTACTGACACGCCACAGAACCTACATTAATACAGAACACTGTTCTTGTACAGGGCGACAAAAAGCCCTACAAAGGAATGAGATTTTGAAGCCACAGTAAGGAACAGAAGATGAAACAAAGATATTTCACAGAGACCCTGCTGAGTCTCCTTGGACTGTGTTATGAAACTCTAAGACCATTCACGGTCTACTCAGATCTCTTTTGACTTCATAGAACTGTTCTCATTCTTGGTGGCTAAAAGGGCATTTTATACAGAGCAGACTTGAGAAAAGCTTCTTACTTGCCCAAACCATGCTCCACCAGCTTACCCCTAAGTCTTCTCTCTCTTCTTTCCATTTTCCGCCCCTTTTCAAATTTCTATCTCTGCCCATCTCCCCAGCCTGGTTTTCAAGATAGACTCACTATGTGGCCAACCACAGGCGTGATCTTCACACTCTACAGCTTCCAACGGCTGGGCTTCAGCAATCCTCCTGCCTCTGCCTCCCAAGTGGCTGGGAACACAGGCGTGAGCCACCGTGACTAGCTTCTTTCCCCTTTTATAACACTTAGGTACTGCAGGCTATTGCATGTGATTATCCACGATACTGTGTGGCAATCATTTTCAAAAGAGGAAGATAGTACCTTAGTGACACTGGTCAAGAGAAGGCATGTATGGGCCCCTCACTCTTCCAGGTTAACAGATGCCTCTGAACCTATCCAGGAGTGTCCCTCTACCTTCACATGCCAGTAACAACATTTGCTTATAAGATGCATTACAGGTCGAGTAAGGTTGTCAAATTCTCTTTAACATGGAAAGTTAAGTTAGCAGCAAGGAAATATAAAATACATGTGGATATGGAACCTCTCATTTCTACTCTAGTGAGTTGATTCTCTCTCAGCCTGTTGCTCAGAGTTTAACTTGGCACCTTTCCCAAAAGCAGTTTGGTATTATCAAAAGCCTTAAAAACTGTTTTTAAAATCAACATCTCTTACTCAGTAAGTCATTTCACTTTGCTTTAAGAATGGTTACTAAGGATTACAGTAAAGAACTGAAAATCAATCCAAGCAATGAAAAAACGACAAGCAAATACACAATGACACTTTTATACAAAATATGATGATGCAAGGAGCAGCAGGGGCATGAGACTGTCACAGTGCACTAGCAGGGTGAAGGAATGACAAACAGGTCTATGAGGATGAAGACAGGTGTGTGGCAAGAAACCAGCCCAGACTTTCTTTTTTTTTAATTTTTTTTTTTTTTTTGCATTAGAGTCTAACTCTGTCGCCCAGGCTGGAGTACAGTGACACGCTCACAGCTACCGCAGCCTCGACCTGCTGGGCTCAGGCGATCCTTCCACCTCAGCCTTCCAAGTAGCTGGAACTACAGGTATGCGTGACCATGCCCAGCTAATTTTTTGATTTATTGCAGAGACAAGGTCTTACCATGTTTCCCAGGCTGGTCTCCAACCTGTGGGCTCAGGCAATCCTCTCAACTTGGCCTCCCAAAGTGCTGTAATTATAGGAGTAAGCCACTGTGCCCACCTAGCCCAGACTTTCAAAGGCTTTGTGTGGCATGCTGAAACATCTGAACTTTATCCTAGAGGTGACTGGGAGCCAGTGGTAAAGCCACGGTTGAATTCCTTGCTGCTGCTCCCCTCAAGACGAAGAGTCTATTTTACCACTTCTTAAATTTAGGCAGCCATAACTTGCTCTAACAGAATCCAGCACGAACTCACAGGACAAGGCTTCAGAAGTCAGCTTCTCCCTTCTCCCTGTCAGGATGCTGCCCCTAAGATTGCCAGGTAAGGAAGCCAACATAGTCCACAGGGGGATGAGAGGCCATGTGGAAGGGACATGAGATACCCCAGCCATAACCCAGCACGCACTGTCAGATGCATGATGGAAGCACCTTGGGCCTTCTAGCCCAGGAGTTGAACCAGCTGAATGGACATGGTAGCGAGTCCAGCCACAGCCAGCAGAGGAGCCAACCAGCCAACCCTAGAAGGCTGAGGATGCATCAGTCACTGCTGTCCTAAGCCACTGAGTTGTGGGGTGGCTTGTCATTCAGCAATCATTAACTGATATGGAGTCCCACCTATAATATCAGATCTGTGATTTTAGGTTTGTAATTTTAGGAGAAACCTCTCTGGCAGGAGTGTGGTTGGGGTTTGGGAGAAAGTGGCAGAGGCAAAACCAGGCCAGGAAAGCAGGAGGCTGCTGCAGGTAAAAAATTAAGGTGTGAAGTGTAAGTATGCATATGGTTTTCAAAGCTGTCTGCAGATTTGAAAGCCATGTAAGCTATAAAGCGGACAGGTGCTGCCAATCAGCTGAAGTGAGACGGGAGTCAGGACGACTCTAGGTTCCTAGCTGCATCATCTGCTGAGTCAGGGAGTACGGGAAGAAGAGATCTGAGGAAGACAGAGTCTGGGGAGTCTGGGGTATGTGAATTACACATGGGACACTGGAGTGGAGATGTTCAGCTGCTGAGAGGGCTGAGCCACAGCTGAGGATTCGGAAGTGGTCAGTGAGTGGCAATAGCTGGAGGCATGTGTGCAGATGTGGCAGAGGGAGGGACGGTGAAGGATGGTATCCTGGGAAAACTGAAGCCTAAGACAGAAGCCAAGGAAGAGGAACATCAACGAGCGTCCAGAGAAAGTGGGGACTAGGCTGGGCTCGGTGGCTCAGCCTGTAATTCCAGCACTTTTGGAGCCTGCGGGTTTGAGACCAGCCCAGGCAACTTGGTGAGACCTTGTCTCTACAATAAAATAAAAAATAGCCGGATGTGGTAGCACACGTCTGTAGTTCCGGGCTACTGGGAAGGCTGAAGCAGAAGGATTGCTGGGGCTTAGAAGGGCGACGTTGGGGTGGCTGTAAGCATGCATGCCACTGTACTATAGCCTGGGCAAAGGAGTGAGACTCCAATTCAAAAAAAAAAAAGAAAGTGGGGACCAAGCACCTAGAACGGTGCCTTGGCATACAGTAGGTGACCAATAAATATCTGTTGTTGACTAAATGAATTCCCATAATACAAGAGTTAAATACTGTGACTATGTCCATGTTTAAGATGGTGATACTAAGAAAAATGAAATAACTTGCTCAAAGTTACACGGCTAGTAATTGGCAGAATAGGAATCCAAGTAGCCTGGATTTGGTAGGTCCAGGAACCCAAAGCTCATGACAAGTGTTTAGAGACTGGAGCAGGAAGTTGGAGTTTCTGTTTGAATGGCCTCTATTTTCTCTGGGAAGTAAAAACAAAAAGATAAAAAGATCAACTTTAAAAATTATAATCTTTTTCTTTTTGGCCAGATACAGTGGCTCATACCTGTCACCCTAGCACTTTGGATGGCCATGGTGGGAGTTCAAGATCAGCCTGAGCAACACAGCAAGAATTCATCTCTACGAAAAGAATTTTAAAAATTAGCAGGGCATGTGTCCACAGTCCCAGCTACCCAGAAGACTGAGGTGGGAGCATCATCTGAGCCCAGGAGACTGAGGCTGCGGTGATCACACCACTGCACTCTAGCCTGGGTGACAGAGTAAGATCCCAACTTAAAAAAAAAAATACAAATTTTGACTTTAAGTGGTGACGGTTAGGTTTACATCTCTTACGCTGTTGTGGAGAATGACATATAAAAACCATGGAAGAACTGACTAGATTCAAGGGTGGGCCTGCCTGGAATATTCCTAGTTTTCATTGCCATTGAGGCAGGAAGACAGGGTGGAACATGGAAGGCAAATCTCAACAAAAAAGAAGGCATGAGAACAGGAAAAAAGCCATGGAGAGAAACATTAATCAACCTCCAAGGACAACACATAAGCCACATTCCCTCCTGAAACGACAACATTCATCAATCTTCCAAGACAGAACATAAGCAGTATTCCCTAGGGAAACAAGATTTAAAAAATCCATAAAACCCTCAAAGGAAATACCCCAGGTCTGGCACGTACACACAAGGGACCTCTTGAACTCTCCATGATAACCTCTTCATGTAAAAGAGCTGGTTAAGGTTAATACATATGGACTGCATCTCTTGCATACAATTACAATTATGGAGTAGCAGGCAAAAAACAAGCACAGTGACCTAAAATGTTACCCTATCCTCAGGAAGTACATTTAACCCTAGAAACATTAGTCAAAATGTTTTCCTTCTGCAAGTTTTGCAAAATCAAAGTCCACCATCCCGCCAAAAAGAATGTAACAGGTCCCAGCTTTGTTTGACTCAAGACTCTTGATCTACTCTTCAGCTTGGCCCACTCCTGTCTTTTCTTCGGAGTGTGTCACCTGTCGCTTTTGCTAAATAAACTACTCTTTGCCTTTGCTCTCTGTGTGTCTCATCCAATTCTTTGTTCACGACACCAAGAACCTGGTCATCATATCAGGTCTTTAGCCACCCCACCACACCAGCACATATGTGCCAAAGGCTTAATATAGTATCAAAAGTCTGGGGTTCTTTATCAGGGTTCTAAATAGAACATCAGAAAAAAAAGTTCCTGTGCCCTTGCTGAATCTAATACATAAACCCTCAAGCTCTTCACAGAGGGTAGAGAAAGTTGAGGAAAGGCAGCAAATTGGAAAAAGCCAGGGACTTTTCTATGGAATAGGAGCACATCAGCCTGGTTTCATCACACCATTTTGACAGATTAAGTGCTTCACTAGCAAACAAAAGTACAGTGAGTAGAAAGACATGAAGATACTCCCATTGAGTCAACAATTCACCTTAACTGGGAAAGTCACAGCAATGCTGACTACTGCATTGAGATGAGTCAGATGATAGAGAACAGATGACCTAACACAACCCATTCCCAACATTATGAAGACACAGGTATTAAGGAAAGTACGTGGGGGGAGGGTACAAGAAAAAATAAAATAGGAAATAGATGTGGGGAGAGTGGGGGAGGCTAGATTAGAAACACGACTCTACTTTTTTTTTTTTTAACTTTAATAAGTCTTCAATGAATTATTGCCAAAAAAAGTATTGAATGAGACACAAAACGTTATTTTCATATGCTATTTTGAGATACAACTTACCAGCAGTTGTCTTCAGGAAGTGACATGGATGACTATACTTGAATGAAGGATAACCAAAGAAACACATGTAACTTGGCTTCAAAACACGAATGTGACTACACGCGTGAAAATAGCGAACACAAACCTATAGACAAGATAATAAACAGTAAATGTGTTTATAAATGATCATAATGGCGTATCTCTTTAAGAACAAACTGAATGTCAATTCTATCCTAAAAGTAGAACAATCATTATCACAATATAAATATGAAATTATTTAGGCAGAAACCAGAGTATTTGGCAGCAGTGACAATCAAGTTTATAAAGATTGGTTATTTTCTTAAGTATTTTTGTCTAAGCAATCAAAGGGACTCATACTAGCACACAGAGGACATTTTGTTGTTCTTTTGATCAGTCATATTATAGCCTTAGCTTTAGATTTGTTTATGATCCCTACCCAAAATTCCTTCTGAAAGTAAAGAAATTTCAACAATGTATATACCGTATAAACGTATCAGCTTCTAGTATGCTTGTCATTAGACTTCCCAAAATAAAACTATTAAAGAATTCTTTTTTTTTTTAAGAAAGCAAGATTTATTGAGAGAATAGAAAAGCTCCCACAGTGGGAGGGGACCCAAAGGGGTTACTCCAACTACTAAAGAAGTCTAAAGTGACCGCATCATATCCAGAGATTTTCTTACTGTAACTTATAGACCACTCTTTAGATTTAACTATTTTATATAACATCTTAGTATAATACAAAACAATGTTACAGAAATAAGTAAGCCTGAACATATACAATTTGATATATCAAAAGCTAAGTATTGAAAGGTATAATTGTATATTTTTAAAGTTAATATTTTCAATGTTATTTATATCTGATTTTATCACACTTTAAACATAAAATACAGAAATTTTTTTTAGAAACATAATTTTCCATGTAACTAAAGAGATTTACACAGCATCTTCAAAGATGTTACAAAAACTAAACAAGTAACTTGATATTAAAGTTTCTTATTTTAATGTTTAAAACTTTTTTCTGAAATAGTTGATTATATAGTATGCAGCTGGAATTAAGACAAAAGTGGAAAATGTAACAAGATATAATACATTTATTACATGACATCCTCATCAAGTCACGTTCCTCTCTTTTCTCCTGCTTACTAACCAATATCTTCTTGGTGTTGTTAATAATATATGCATTGCATCAATCTCTACAAAATGTTTAAAAACTGTAGAGCTAATTTTTTTCTTTTTCTTTTTCTTTTTTTGAGCCAGAGTCTCACTCTGTCACCCAGGCTGGAGTGCAATGGCACGCTCATGGCCACCGCAGCCTCGACCTGCTTGGCTCAGGCGATCCTTCCACCTCAGCCTTCCAAGTGGTTGGAACTACGGACACATGCCACCATACCCAGTTAATGTTTTGATTTATTGTAGAGATGAGGTCTCGCCAAGTTGCCCAGGTTAGTCTTGAACCCATGGGTTCAGGCAATCCTTTCAACTTGGCTTCCCAAAGTGTTGGGATTATAGGCGTGAGCCACCATCTGGGCCTGACCTAAATTTAAAAAGCAAATTACAGCCGGGCATGGTAGCTCGCCTGTAATCATAGTACGTGGGGAAGTGGAGGTGAAAGGATTGCCTGAGCCCAGGGTTTCAAGGCCAGCCTGAGCAATTTGATGAGTCCCCATCTCTATAATAAATCAAGAAAAACTAGCTGGGTGTGGTAGCACGCATCTGTAGTTCCAGCTACTTGGAAGTCTAAGGCAGGAGGATCGCCTGAGCCCAGCAGGTTGAGGTTGCAGTGACCGTGAGTGTACCACTGCACTCCAGCCTGGGTGACAGAGTGAGACTCCGACTCAAAAAAGAATCATCATTTATGTTAATGATGACTAGCCTTAAAAATTTTAAATTATGTAATAATACACATTATATTATATCTTGTAGTCATATTTTAAAATTTAATTAATTTATTTTTTGGTCAGAGTCTCACTCTGTCATCCAGGCTGGAGTATAGTGGGACACTCATGGCCACCACAGCCTCAATCTGCTGGGTTCAGGCGATCTTTCTGCCTCAACCTTCCAAGTAGACGAAACTACAGGCACGCACACTACTCCTGGCTAATTTTTGGATTAATTGTAGAGACAGGGTCTTGCCAAGTTGCCCAGGCTGGTCTCGAACCCCTGGGCTCAGGGAATCCTCTTGCCTCTGCTTCCCAAAGTGCTGGTATTACAGGTATAAGCCACTATGTCTGGCTATTATAGTCATATTTTAATACATATTTATAAACAATAATTTTTTTCTGACAGCAATATAAAAGTTTAGCTTGCTGACAGGTACAATACATTTAAATTCTTAAGTGACATTTCAATTTTATTTTCAAGCTGTTACTGATTTCAGAAGGCAAAGAAAAACTGAAGCTTGCTTTCCTAAAACATAAATAATCTGAAATCATGCATCTTAGCTTTACTTTAAAGAGATCACTCTAAATCAACTAATCTTTATCATATCTATCTATCTATCTATATATTTTTTTTTTAGTTGGAGTCTCACTCTGTCGCCCAGACTGGAGTGCAGTGGCCGCTCCCAGCCACCGCAGCCTTGCCTGCTGGGCGCCAGCGATCCTTCTGCCTCAGCCTTTCAAGTAGCTGGAACTACAGGCGCACGCTACCACGCCCGGCTAATTTTTGATTTATCGTAGAGATGAGGTCTCGCCAAGTTGCCCAGGCAAGTCTCGAATCTGCGGGCTCAGGCAATCCACTCACCTCAGCCTCCCAAAGGCGCGGGATTACAGGCTGAGTCACCGAGCCTGGCTTATATTTTATTTTTATCAGTCAGGAAACATAAAGCCTAACTAAAATAATTAAAGTTGAGTGTGTAACACTTTGGAGTAGTGAAAGAAATTTATTTTCCAAACACCCCATTTTGTGTGCCCTTCCTTTCTCCTTCAATTCCCACAACTTGGGCTCTTAGTCAACAACAAAATGAAAGGAGCAAGTCAACCTCAACTTCATCAGACATAAAACCTGGGGATTGGAAATGAAAGTTCTAAAGGATACAGATCCACCTTGATTTAAACAGAGTAGCTCAATCTTTTAAAACTTTGAAAGAAAATCAACTAGAAGGTCCTACCTTCAATGACATAATCCTATTGCAGAACCATTAAAGGGACAAGGGCAGTACAAACTACCAAACTTAACATTGACTGAGTTCCTCGTATGTCCTGAGTACTCTAAAAAATCTTTACATAAATTATCTTCTTTATGTCTTACAATTTCCCTTTGGAACATGCACACCAGCCCCCTTCAACACATGAGAAACTGACAGGGGAAGTGAGGTAGTTTGTCCAAGGTCTCACAGCAAATAAGTGGCAAAGCTGAGCTCTAAGGTCAAGTGAATCTGACATTAAAAAGGGAAACAGAGTGTGTTAAGGGAACCAGAAGGAAGGGAACCCAGCTGCAGAAAGTTAAGTTGAAGTAAGACTTGAGGGATGAGTAGGAGTAACCCAGAGTGTGAGCTATGTCACAGATGAGGCCACAGGGGAGTAAGACAAAAGTCTTTAAAGCAGATGAAATACATGTGCAAAGGTCTGGGATTGAGAGAGAGCAGTGTGTGTTCAATTAACTTAAGCTGTTAAAGACTTCCAGTGTGGTTTAATGTGGGGAAGTGTCAGTGTCAGGATTGGGACAGGTGGTTTCAGCAGGGAATGAAGCCTGAGAGGTTGGAAAGATCCAGATCACAGATGGCCTCATAGTCATTTGAGATGTGGACATTTTACTAAGGGCAGATTTAAGCAAGAAAGTGACAGTATCAGAGGTGTGTGACTTTATAAGGTCACCTTGGCTACACTATGGAAAATAGGTGGAAAAGCACAAGACAGGGGCCAGAAGGTCCAATTAGGAAGGATCAGGACTGTGGTTGAGGGCTGGATGGGGAAGTAGTAAACTGATTTCTTCAGAGAGCGTTACAAGCTAGAGTCAAGAGAAACAGGATTGAGGGTTCAGTTCTGGAGCCCACAGAGTCTAATGTGCTTTGAGGCATCATTGTGGACACTGAGAGATGGCTAAAAGACCAGCTTTTAAAGCTCCCTTGTGTTAGCAATGGCCATATAGCACAGCTCTAGCCAGTGAGGCTGGTTGGTACCACCTTTTCCTTGTTCCTGCTTTCAATGCATGACCAGGAGGGAAAGGCCAAATGAGCTGCTAGGGAAATGACAACATTGATATTGATAAGCCACTTAACACCAGCTGCCATCTAATTTTAGGATGCTTTGGATGCTTACTTTCCTATTTATTGGTTGGGTTCTTATTACTGAAAAACACCTCATATGCACGCAACGGGAGATTACCAGAACAACAGGATACAGGGATCTTGGAGGAAACCTGGTTAGAAGACTGGGGAACTTTGGGAATTATTAGCATAGATAATAAGTCCAAAAAGTGGATGAGATAACCCAAGAAGTGGGAAAAGTGCAGAGGGCCAATGTCAGAGCCCTGAGAAATGCCGGTATTTAAAGTTGGTTAGGAAACGAGGATATCAGGATGAAGTAGCCAAAGATGCAGGAAGAACACTGGGAAGCTGGTGCCACAAGGCAAGAATGGAGAGCTCTCAAAACAGAGGCCACTACCTAGTAAAGTGCTGCTGAAAAGAGCCCACAAAGGTGGTACCAGCCAGCCTCACAAATCTCAAGTTTTACAGCGTCCTCTGAGAACTCCTCCCTGATGCCCAAGTCCACCACAGGTGTCCACTCTTGTGTGCTCCTGTAGCTCTAGGCACTTGTCCCGTCATAGTACTTTGCCACACTGGCTTGTAATTGCTTCGTGTCATTGTCTCCCTCTTCCCTGTCCTCCACCAGAGGTTGTAATCTCTGAGAGGGAAGGAATGGTGTCTGTCATTCATGTTTGCATCCCAGTGCAACACAGTACATAGCAGGTTCTTGAAAGGTTTCGTACTATCAGGGGGTCCACCAAGGCAGGGGGTCCACCAAGGTGAGCCGGGGAGGAAGGGTTCCAGGAAGAAAAACACTGAATAGGATGGAACAGGAACCCCGGAATTTGTTAGCGCTCGGTGCTAAAACGCCGTGGGAAAGGGGGAAGTGCAGGGGAAACAGGTGACAAGTCGCAGCCTTGGTGGTAATAAAGTTTGGAATAACGTGCGGTGCGGTCGTAGAGGAGTGCAGGCCAAAAGAGCGACACTCACGCCTCTCGGTGCCTCCAAGCAAGGCCCCAGGGCGATATTCGTTGCTTGTACAATCTCTTCTCCAGACTGTCCTCTCCCTGGGGTAGGGGCAGTATTATGGCGTCTGGCACACCGTGGGCGCTCAATAAATGCTGAACGAGAGTCCCTCCGTATCCCGAGCGCCTACCACGGTGCTCGGCACCTACAAGGCGTTCACGGAAGGCCAGCGGGGCCTCGGGCTGCAGACAGAGCAGAAGGCGGCGGAGTTGTTGCCGAACGCCCAGGAAAAAGAGGGCGGGCGTCGGATCACCCCTTCCCTGTCCCGGGCTTCGCGCGCATCCCTCCACCTTTCCACGCGTGCCTGGACGCGGGGCGCTCGCAGAAGAAGCCACGCGCACTCCCGGGGGACGCTGGGCAAGCCACTCCTTCCCGGCCACAGACCGGCCCAGACCCGCTTACCAGCCGCCCAGCGCCCCAGCTCCAGGTCCTCAGCACGCGCACTGCAGCCATCTTACCCGGAAGTGGTCGCGGCGCCGCGGACACGAGCGACGCCTCCGCGGGGCGGCCTATGAGGACGCGGGAAGCGCTCC